TAATGACCTCCATCAGATTTCCACTGGTTTTAAATAACAGTGCCGGGGCTGAGAGAGAAGCACTGGGATCGCCTGGAGTCCTGCCTTGGCTTCCACATAGGGGGATAAGACATGACTCAAAGTCCCTTGGGTGAATGTAAAAATTGTACATAGGTGTAAATGTGATTTATTTACTTTAATTTCATTTAGATTTTTATTTATTTATTTATTTTAAATGATATTTACAACTGTATACAAAAAATACATCTGGTAAATTCGCACATTGGTATAAAGACATGAAACATATGTTGAGAAACTACCCATTGGGAGCACTCTAATAATATGTCTATATTAGAAGATCACGTGGCCATCTTCTTTTCAAACGCCTCGGAGGGTTATCAGGAATCGAATAGGAAGCAAGGTTAGAAACAAGAGGGTTGGGATGGTTATGAAGTTTATTATGGAAGGACAGATATCTGGATTGGGCCAAATCTGATACATAAGGAACATTAAGGTCATTATGGATAATTTTATTTGTAACAAAGTAAGGGGCATTGAGGATTTTACGAAGGATTTTGGATTGCAAGGACTGTATGCGAGAGGAATTTGAAGGCTTGGTGGAGCCCCATAGCTCAACCTCGTAAGTCCAAATAGGCCTTATTATAGTCATGTAAATCAGTCTTTTATAATTGATTGGAAGGTTAGAGCGTTTGTCTAGTAAGTGTTGAAGTAGTCGGAAACGTCGAGCGGTTTCTTGTCGTTTCAGTCTCGTATGAGGATTCCAAGTTAGACGTTTGTCCAGATGGAGTCCTAGGTAACGGATTTGTTCAACAGTAATAAGTGAGGTGTTGTTAAAGGATACTGAAGGACAGGAAGTCATTGGTTTACGACGAAGGGTGAAGGTAATTTGATGGGATTTATTGGAATTTATTTTAATTCTCCAGTTCTGACACCATTCTTCAAGGTTTGTGATGTGGGATTGAAGGGTTTGGGATGCAATAGATGGGTCGTTATTGACTGATAGGATACATGTGTCATCAGCATATGTGGTGATGACAGTGTTGACAATAGATATTTTCCAAGGATCAGGGAAATATGTTGATCGGAGTACAGCATTATATATGAAAGTAAGGAATAGGATGGCTTTTCGAGGAAGAAGTTTCAAGATCTGGGATGTTATTAGGTCATGTCCAGGAGCTTTGTAGGATGGTAATCTTCTGAATGATGTTGGATATTTCTGTGGGATGAAATGCTTTAGGTGGAAGGGACATTTGGAGAGGAGTATCCAGTTCTGATTCAATACATTCGATGTGGGTTGGATTAAGGATACCAGGATGTGGGTTGAAAATTTGGAACAGATGTTGACCGAATAACTGGGCTTTTTCTTCGTCGGATTTGGACCAGGTTTGGGATTCAGTAAGAAGTGGGTGATTAAAATCTTTAAACTTCAGAAGTTTTTTGGTTGTAGTCCATAGTGATTTGTCAGTTGTTGTAATATTTTCAGTTAGGTTCAGTAATTGTTGAGTTTTATATTTTCTGATTTCTGATTTTAGTTTGTTAGTCAATTCGGTATAGTACGTTTTGTCTGAAGGATATCTAGTCCTGTGCCACTTCGATCTTGCTCTGCGTTTATCCCTTAATAAGATTCGAATAAGCTGTGGCAAGTTAATATGTCTTAAATTATTGCTTTTATTATTAACTAATGTGTTATTATTTATACTCGTTGTTATAGTTGTATTAAGGTTTTCTATGGCATTATCAATATGTTGTTTTGTCTTAAGGGGAATTTTTAAGTCCAGTTTATCTTCCAGATCATGATGAAATTTGTCCCAGTCCACTCGTCCTGTAATTAGTTTAGGATGTGTAGGTTTAGGAGCAAAGTTCGAATGTAGTAAAAGCAAAACTGGACTATGATCTGACGAAAGGTCATCCAGGGATTTGATAATGGATTGGGAGGAGGAAATCTGGGAGGTGATAAATATATCCAGGATATCGGGACGTTTTTTCAGAGGTGTAGGCCAATATGTAGGATTCATGGGTGAGAGGATTGAATAACTGTTGGAAGAAGAGACACGTGATAGGATTCTACCGCGGGAGTTGGATGTTCGACAACCCCATCATTGGTGTTTAGCATTGTAGTCTCCTCCAGCAATAAAGCGCGCTCCGAGGGATTGAAATAAGGAATCAAGTAGGCTGTAAGAGAGGGAATCACCAGGAGGACAGTATACAGCTGAGAGTGTTAAATGGAAAGGACGAGTTGAAATGATTACTGATGTTGCTTGAATAGCCTCAGTTGGAGTATAAGGAATGAGAGAATGGGATAAGGATTTATGGATAAGGATGCAAGAACCGGCATGGGAAGTGTTGTCGGGTTGGTCTGATCTATAAGTGATATAGTCATGCATGTAGAAATATGAACGTTGAGTGAAGTGAGTTTCTGTCAGTTCAGCAATATCAATCTGGTAGTCATGAAGAAAAATGTCAAGTTCGTCTTGGTGATAACCAAAAATTATGTTTAAAGAATAATTTAACACATTCTTGCCATTTCGTTTTAATTTCTGCCAATGCCAATTTGAGATAATTTCTCAACCCAGCAAAAGAGAGATGTTTTCCGACTCGAATCGTTGCTAAATAACATTACATTAGGCTATATAACGGTAGGATATTTCCAAATGCCGAATAACTCCCTTATTTAAATGAAACATTTTTAAAAATAAATTGATGTCTCAAAAGGCAGACAAAGGCAATCAACTCTTTCATTTTTCTTTAATATATCTACTTACGTATGAGATAAATTGAATTGACGTATTTTGAGAGTATGTTTTAGTAAATTAATTTTGAAATTATATAATTACTTGAAATAAATAAGTTAATTGGTCAAATTATGAATCGATAATTAGATGAATGGCTTTCTTAGATACTAGGCATCTATACTTATCAAATAAACATTGTTATTGTAAAAAAAAATTAACTAGTGGTACTGAGCTCAAATGAAAGATGAGACAATAACTGAACAAAACGTGAGCCATCAAATCAGTAGTTCCTTACAGAGTTGCATTTATCGTTGGGAACCGCTAAAATCAATTCAATTTATGATTATCTTCTAATTAAACATTCATATTTTATCTCATTACGTTGGATTTAAAAAATTTCACTATTAATTTTTTCCACCTACATTGGTCATTCGTCCGACTGCTGTGCATGTGGTTAACAATCAAGGACCCGACTGCCTTCCTTTGGGAAAAGGTGATTAGTTGCCTTAGTAAGTATTTAGGACTCGGGTAGACTTCCAGCTCCTACTACATTTGCAGCCATTGCGTCATTATTTTTTTTATTGAATATTAATACATTCTGCCACATTGAAGGGCATTAATATTAAGGCTATATGATTCATTCGCACAATATGTACATACAATTAATAACAATAATAAAGAAAAAGAAATATAAAAAAAAAATAAAATAAGTAAATTGATATGCCTGTGTACAAAAAACATAATCAAATAATAGATAAAAGCTAGATGAAATTAAAGTAAATAAATCGCATTCACACCTATGTACAATATTTACATTCACCCAGGGGACTCTGAGTCCTGCCTTATTCCCCGAGGTGGAAGCCAAGGCAGGACTCCAGGAGATCCCAGTGCTTCTTTCTCAACCGCGTCACTGTTATTTGAAACCAGTGGAAACTGATGGAGGGCACTATATTGCGTGATTAAAGATCTATTCATATGTATATTCATATTTAGTATATTTTGATAAAACTTGTACTTTTTATACTAAAATGTCCCTTGAGGGATGTGATATTATAAGGGGAAGTGATATTAGGCGATAATAATGAATAAAAGTATTCAAAGTGAGTAATTTTGAGGAATGAGGGTTGGTTGAAAAAAAAAAAAAAATGGAAGTGGTATATAGTCGAAATAATGGATAATACTTGAAGTGTTTAATTTACTTAAATTTTATGAACTAAATATCCATGATGTCAAAGTGGTATATTATAAAATAGTTGGCGAAAATGTCCAAAGTGTGTATGTACTTTTGATTACTGACATAAAGAAAAAAAAAATTATGCAGATTTTTTAACACGTTAGTGTTCTGAAAGTGTAATTTTAATTAATCATTGTGAAAATACTTAAAGTGTGTAATTTTAAGCATTGCCATTGTCAAAACAGTTATATAAATGTTAATTTGAATGTAATATTTATGTAACACCATAGGAATTCCATATGTATTTTTATGTTGTAAGCATTAACGTTCCAAAGTCCATTGTTTATGTTTTTTGTTTATGTCCATTGTTGTTTTGACGGTCACATGACTGATCATGTGACTCAAAAAATTATAATCAATAGGAAGGGTCTATAAAAACAAAAGCGTCTTTCAAGTCACTGATCAGGTGACACTGGTAATATAAACATTAAGATGGTTATGGGAAAAACAAAACAAATTATTGATGGTCACATGACTGATCGCGGAACTCAGAAAATGTAAACATTATGAAGTTAACACACACGCACACACACACACACACACACACACACACACACACACACACACACACACACACACACACACACCACACATACACACACACACACGCGCACACGCACAAACACACACACACACACACACACACACACACACACACATATATATATATATATATATAAGGGCACTGAGTACTAAAGCTAAGTGAGGCCCATTCATACTATATATACAATACAGTAAAAATAAAAAGTAAATAAATAAAAAAAATAAAAATATATATCTATTTAACAAAGGTAAAAACTATAAAACCGAAGAAATGTAACTTGAAATCAAATTAAAAAAAATACAGAAATTGGTAGCAAATTAAATAAGTCATAAGTAAAACAAATAAATTACATATATTATATGAGCTTTAGGAAGGATGGAAAACAAAATGGAAACAGTCACATGACTCCATAAAAATACCTGACTTACAGAGGTTGCAAAAACAAGATGATGACGGTCACTTGACTGCTCATTTGACAATACAAAACCACATGTCGAAAAAAAAAGAAGGTACACTCGGCTTCTATAAGATGAGTACCGGACCTGTATAAATTCCTTGATCACGTTACTAAATCTGACGTCGCTGAAATCTTGGCTTCTTGTTGCCTGCTCTAAAAAGTGCACCAGCTCACCTAAATCTAGTCTACTGCTTGTTGCTTTTATGTCAATATCGTCTTTCGATCCTAGATCAGTTTTTCCTGGGACTTATCTTGGAAATAAGATTTCTAAAATTGATTCTTTTTGCCAACCTCTTTCCATATGTTATCATCCCATCAATACACTTTCCATGACCCTGTTTGCTGCAGGCTTCTTTTGCCGTACCTAAAATTTCTTGTTTAAGAGCACTCCACTGTGTCTAAGCATTTCCGTTTTAGTTATTCTTTCTTTCGTTTGATTGATTCTTTTATCTAATACACGAACCTTGATAATTTCGCACTTCTTGTGCTAAGGGCAGCGACTTTCCTAAATTCTGGCATCTGTCACTACTAACTCTCTGATCCTATACCTGCTTCATTTGGATAGTACGTTCCTGTATAATATCTTTTTGTTAGAGGGATAAGACAATTATTTAGAGTTATCGTTATTTAAGCTATTACTGTATTAGTAGTTTATGTAACAGTTTTGCTTTACTATTATTATTTTTTCAAACTCTCGTGCGGTTAAATTCCTTTTTCTGATTTTACCACAGGGCTGTTCGGGAGCAGTGAAAGCGGAGGTAAACACTATCGAAGGAGAAAAGCACGGACTGTTTTCTCGGACCAGCAGCTAACAGGTTTAGAGAAGAGGTTCGAGGCACAGCGGTACCTTTCCACACCGGAGCGGGTGGAACTGGCCCACGCTCTTCACCTGTCAGAAACTCAGGTAACTTATATCTTTTATACGTTTTTCATTTCATAATTATCTAACAAACCATTTAACAACGCGGCTCAATTCATACATATTTATAGGCATCTATTACGGCTGTAGCCATTAAAAAGTCACGATAACCTCGTCGTCTCAACTTTCTGAGTATCGTACTCCTACTTTAATACTTTAACCGGATTCAAGATGAGACAACCAGACCAAGAAGAGAACCTACTAGAATTGTTATTAGTAATCTATCATTCTCCGAAATACTTGGAGATAAGAACCAACTAATAAATGTGAAGCCATGCCACAGCAACTACCTCAACCCCAACCTCAATATCCTGTTCATCCTAATGTACCTAACCATCAAAAACCTCAAATTTCCCCTCCCTCAGATGCCACAGATCTCACCAGTTTGATGTCATCATTCCTCATTGAATTCAAATCAACGGTTACCCTACTCATTCCACTCCTTACAAATCTCGTATCTCACCTCATCCCTCCTGTGAAAAATTCTTGAATGACTCCCATCAAACACATATCTATTCTCCTTTGGAATGAGAGTGGTGTTAGAAATCACGTTGGCGAACTAACAGCGTTACTACTAGACAAGAACATCGACGTAGCACTAATTATAGAAACACGACTGACCAAAAATAGAATTTAAAAATATCACAGTACATAACATGCCGTACTGACCATCCTGACAGTAGAGCACATGCCGTGTGGTGGGCTGTTGTTGTGGTTCAAGAACCACGAGTTCTCGTGGCAGAATATTGCTGTTTGCACTCAATTCCCAACGTTTCAGCCTTCTTTCACCCAACTCACCTACCTACTGGCCCACTGATCCTAACACCAATACTGATATCCTTGATTCTTTCATCCATAGTGGTTTAGGTCCCGTCAATCATTCCCGTACCCGTTTTGACGAACTTTCCTCAGACCATAGTCCATTAATACTTCAATTATCAATAGCTCTAATTCCTAAACCCCATCCAATGTCCTTCATCAGAGACCCAGTTAACTAGAAATTCTTACAACAAATCCTTTCCGATAAAATTGACCTCAGAATAACACTGAAAACCCCAGAAGACCGCGATAATGCCGTACATTCCTTTACCACCGCTATCCAGCAAGAAATCTGGACTGCTTCCTCCCCAAATCTCTGCTGAAAAATCTCAAGAAAAATAACTCACCTCAATACCTACCAGACCTAATTCACACTAAACCCCGTTCCAGAATATTATGGCAACGTTCAAGACACCCCACTGATCGCCGCATTTATAATTATTACAGTAAACGATTAAAGCAGGAATTGGCCACCTTCAGATCCCAATCCTTCAACTCCTAGCTTACTTCCCTCTCTGCTCATAACAATTCTCTATGGAAGATCGCCAACAAAATCCTTAAATCCCATCATATTTCCCATCCCCTACGTCGATGCGATGGCTCCTGGGCAGCGTCTGATGAAGAAAAAGCTGAAGAATTCGCCAGACACCTCTCCAGAATCAAGTTTAGAATTTTTCTTTTGATTTATTGTGTTTTTCTAATTATCGTACTCAAAGTTATTATTCATTCTTTTCTTATTATTATATATATTTATTCTATATTAAAATTATTTTCGTGTATCTTTATATTTATATTGTTTTTCTAATTATTGTATTCAAAGTTATTATTCATTGTTTTTCTTATTGTTATATATATTTATTCTAGTTTAAATTTTTTCATTTCGTGTTTCATTTATATTTATAATATCGCTTATATTATTGCTAAATTTTTCTATTTAGTATATATTATTCAATTATCAGCCAAAGACATTTTTTTTATTTTTTACCGTGCGTTATATATTCATTTCCTTTTTTTGTTAATTTTTTTTTGTTCAAGTTTTAGAAATTATATATATATATATATATATATATATATATATATATATCGTTATTATTATATATTTAATCTTTATTAAATATATATATATATTAAAAATGGAATCTTCGTCAAGGAATTGTGCCAATTGTAACAAAATATTCGCTAGCCATAGAGAATGCGTTGTTCATGAATTAACGTGCTTATACAGTCAGGAATTAGCCTTGTGCATTTGCGCCAACTACATCAAATAACACAATATGACACATAGTCTGTGGGCCAGACCCCCTTACCGTGCACCCCCCCCCCCACATCCCTATAAATTGCATATCGTTTTGTTCCTTGTAACAATTTATTAAAAAAAAGCCAATGTTCCCACAAAAAAAAGTGAACGCACTGCCCCAAAATGGCGTCCAAAGATGGCGGATTGACGACTTTGACTTTAGTTAGTTTTTTGGTCACTGAGAATCAGCATTTGGCTTAATTTCCTCATAGTTGGTATTTTATTAAAGCTGAATAGTCATAGAATAATAAAACATGAAGAAATATAAAAAAATAATTGGCTTAGGCTATGAAAAACACCAGTGAAATCAACTTTTTTAACAAAAAAATTTTCAAGTTTCAAATCAAGCGTCGTTTGTAATTAAACGGTCTACAATAACGCAAAACGTGCTGAAATAAACCATCTGGAGAATATATTTCTCTTTCTAAAACGCTGATTACTTTTTAAAATATTTGAAGCAGTTCCGTAGAAAATACACTTATGCGGCAGAAAAGCGGTACTGGCGTGGGTGCCTACAGGCCTCTACCACACCATTCAGTGCCCATAAATGGCTTAGTTACAGTGATATAATAACATTTTTGGTACATTATATTGGTTTTATTAACGAACAAATATTAATGCAATAATTTAACTGTAAAAAAAAAAATTAAAATTAAAAAAAAAAATTAAAATTATTATTATTTTTTTTTAATTTAACCTCCTTTATTCTATACGTAGGTCGTTTAAGAATACCTCAATTGTAAAAATGATATAATTATAATAATAAAACTTAATTAAAAAATACTTTGCTAAATATCTTGATTTTTTTTTTATTTAACGTTATGCAATTTAACACTGTGTTTTGTATATTTACTAAATCTTAGAGGTAATTAAAATTTTTATATACTTCCCAGGAAATGAGCCATATTAATACCTGTTTTATAAACTAAAATAATATATACCTAATATGAACTATATACAATGAATAGCTGGCGGGTTGTTTAGTAAAACTCATATATCACTAATTAAAAAATTAATTTTTATTTCCTTTTATTTGGTGCGGAAGTTGGACTATATCATAAACAAATAGGAAATTTTAATATTGAATGAATTATTCTCTCTGCACAAAGAAAGATAGAAAGGGTGACGCTATAAGTTCTTCTATAAACCAGAGGTGATTATTTGTTTTTGGTCTCAAAATGAGGAAAAACGCGAAATTGAACCAGAAAATTGGAAAAATACATTAAGCGAACGAGAAAGGAAGTGCCAAAACCTCGGAAAAGATAAAAAGGACCAGTATCCATTATATAGCTAAATGAATCTATAGTAGACAGATGAACAGAATATTTCAAGATGCTGCTAAAAGGGGGTCAATTGCAGTTTGGATGATATTAAGTGGACGATGTAGGTTTATTATGGTGAAAACCACTTTATTTTCGATTGCTACTGAAGGTGCACACTGGGACTATCTACACTTTGAAGCAGGATATAGGTATATCGAGAAAGTTTAGTCTGTTTAGTGGATTTGCAAACGATTTTTTAAGGAATCTAAAAGGAAAACGAGCTTTTCTGAAAGATAATTAGATATTAGCATAATCCAAAGTGTGAGGCACTAAGCAGATAGAGAGCTATTTTTCATTTTATATGGACTTTTCTATAAGTGGAGACAGTCCCAATTTTGAACTTCTTTTCCAATGTGCAACTTGAGTTTCTCAATCCATATCGCTCTGGCAATCGACAATATTTCTTATTCCAGCTTCTACGATTGTTGAGTATAATTTCTTTGGAACACTAAACAGGAATGGATCTTGGTGGGTATTACATTTCCTAGTATCTCCTTTCTTGTAAAGGTAAAAAATACAGTCCTTTCATATCATTTTCTAATATACTTGTTGCCTATGTACGCGCAAAACTGTGCGAAGCAGTTGGGTTTCGCCCTTTCCATCTTTCTTTGTGCAGAGAGAATAATGCATTGAAATATTAAAATTTCCTATTTTTTTATATGGTACAAATTCCGAAAATTTATCTGAACAATAACGAGCTATGACTAATATAAGATTCCTTCAAAAAATCTCTAGCAAATGCATCAAACAGAAGGAGAGCTATGAGCGATAACTTTCTCGATATACCTCTCTATATCCTGCTTCAAAGTGTAGATAGTCCCAGTGTGCACCTTCAGTAGCAATCGAAAATAAAGTGGTTTTCACCATAATAAACCTACATCGTCCACTTAATATCATCCAAACTGCAATTGACCCCCTTTTAGCAGCATCTTGAAATATTCTGTTCATCTGTCTACTATAGATTCATTTAGCTATATAATGGATACTGGTCCTTTTTATCTTTTCCGAGGTTTTGGCACTTCCTTTCTCGTTCGCTTAATGTATTTTTCCAATTTTCTGGTTCAATTTCGCGTTTTTCCTCATTTTGAGACCAAAAACAAACAATCAGTTCTGGTTTATAGAAGAACTTATAGCGTCACCCTTTCTATCTTTCTTTGTGCAGAGAGAATAATTCATTCAATATTAAAATTTCCTATTTATTTATGATATAGTCCAACTTCCGCACAAAATAAAGGAAATAAAAATTAATTTTTTAATTAGTGATATATGAGTTTTACTAAACAACCCGCCAGCTATTCATTATATATAGTTCAGATTAGGTATGTATTATTTTAGTTTATAAAACAGGTATTAATATGACTCATTTCCTGGGAAGTATATAAAAATTTTAATTACCTCTAAGATTCAGTAAATATACAAAACACAGTGTTAAATTGCAAACGTTAAATAAAAAAAAAATCAAGATATTTAGCAAAGTATTTTTTAATTAAGTTTTATTATTATAATTATATCATTTTTACAATTGAGGTCTTCTTAAACGACCTACGTATAGAATAAAGGAGGTTAAATTTAAAAAAAATAAT